CAGTTAAAATTGTCACAAAGATAAGTACGAAAAGGGAAATCATTTTTATGTTGTAGATAAAGTAATATACAAGTTTTGTCTTTGAAAATTGACATTTCTATTGCCAAATCTGCACGATATTTTTTTTTCTCTTCATTTATGACAAATGTATCCTTGGTATTCAAGTAATAAACTCTTGAAGATATGGGTGTTCGTGTGATGCATGAAAGTAGTGGTTTTCTTTGAAGGGACGACATCTAAAGCAACACACAGAGTAATTTTCTTACCCCCTAGCTTGTGATTTCTTTGACACCAAAGGATGATGCGAGCGATGCTAACTCCCTGACCACTTCTTTGCCAAATTGCTATGATTTGCTTCTAGTACTCGGTAGACCTTCTGAAAATTTTTTCGAAGTTATTTAGCTCCTCGTTGAGGGCATGGATCTGATCCTTGCTGGAGACCTTGATGACAGGGATAGTATTATATAGTAGTCCCTTGAGCAAACTCTCTACCTCGAGAAGCCAAATCTTTGCCAGTGACGAAGAGGAAGGTGATGAAGAGGCTGAGGCGATGAGGAAGGTGACGAAGGTGACGGAGAGGCGATGAGGAAGAGCCGAAGAGGGCGGCGGAAGAGCTAAGGTGACTGGTGAGTAAGTGAAAACTGAAAAGATTAGGGTTTTTGGCTTTCAATTTTAATTTCAATTATTAACTTATTTTATGTTATATAATATTATAATATATATTATATATGTATTGTTAAAAATTATTATATTATATATAAATATTATTCTTCGAATTCGATATCGAATTTTCAATTCCGAATTCCGAATTCGAATTACCGATTTCAAAAATTATATTTTTGAATTCGATATATTCGAAATCGGAATTACCGAATTCACTACCGAATTACCGAAATTCCGAATTCGAACTTCCGAATTCAATTCGAAATCGATTTCGAAATCGAAATTTTTCAAAATTGCACACCCCTAGCTACAGGGAGACCAACTTGGCGGCTGATTCACTGGCAAAGCAGGCAACCATTACAAGACATTCGGAGATTTATGGAGCCACCGGCTTACCAAAGCAAGTAAAGGGGATCACACACTTGGATGCAATCCAGTACCCTTATTTCTGCCTAAAGCGCTACATGTAATAGGCCTTAGTATTTTTTCGGAGTTTATCAATAAAAGGGGAAGTTAAAAAAAATTTTATTGGAAAACGGATTCATTTTTATTTTATCGGATAAATAAATTTATTTATGAGAACATGAGTACTCTTTTCTTATAATGGAGGAAAGCCGTAAAGAGCTGGTGTTTTATTCGAAAACGGGTTTATTTTATTTTATCCGAAAAATAACTTTGTTTGTGGGAAAATGGGTGCTCTGTTCTTACCAAAACCTACTAATTTTCCTTTCGCAAAAATATTAGTATATCACTTTTTAAATTTTACTTGCAAACATTTATGTATTTAACATAAATTATATGATTCAGAGTAAAATGCCTATAAATAGCTTGTGCTTTATTCATATAATAGAAGAAACCCGTAAAGAGATAGTAAAAAGTGGGTAATATATTTTTTACTTTTACGTTTTTAATTTATGTTAAATACAAAACCGACTAGTTTCCCTTTCATAATAATATTAGTGTAACACTTTTGAATTTCACTTATAAACTTTATGTATTTAATATAAATTAATTGATTCAAAGTAAAATGCTCATAAATAGTTAGCAGTTTATTCATATAATGGAAGAAACTCATAAAGAATTGGTATATTATGGACAATTTTTTTTTACTTTCAAATACTTCATTTATATTAAATACAAAACATGCTAGTTTTCATTTCGTAAAAATATTTGTGTAACGGCTTTTGAATTTTATTTGAAAATATTTATGTATTTAATATTAAATGATTTAGAATAAAATGCCTATAAAAACCTGGTACTTGGTTCATGTAATAGAGAAAAGCAATAAAGAGTTGGTACTTTACGGGATATTTCTTTTTTAAAAAAATTTAATTTATGTTAAATAGATAACCTACTAGTTTTTTTTTTGTAAGAAATTACTGTAACACTTTTTGAATTTTACTTAAAAACATTCATATAGTTATTATAAATTGAATGTTTGAGAGTAAAATGTCCACAAAAAGCTAGTATTTTGAATAGGTAATGCCCATTTACCCATATGAAGTTTATTAATCGTTAATTGTTTTGTAATACTTTGTCATTCCTTTGCTAATACTACTTTGGTAATACAAAGGGCAAATTTGGTACAAATCTGGTACAAATCTTTCTCCACGCGTGTTACCACTGCCACATGACGGCTCCGTTTGGTGCTTTTGGACGAAATACACGTGTCCAACTCTGCATGGCTTCCTACGGTAGGAGCGGTCAAAGGGCATCCTACCATAAAGGTTTTCCCATAGGAGACTGCATTTTAAAGATTTCTTTTGTACGTGAACAGTGGATATGATTATATATTATTTTAAAATTTTTTTATGCAAAAAAAAAAAGATGTTATATTTGTTGTATTTTATTGACTTAAAACTTATCTTGCATCTGAAATATTTTCATTGTGTAATTATTTGATTTGGTTTTTCAAAACTCATTCATTGTCTTAATAAGATTTTAGATACAAGATAATGGGTTGTTTATCTTATCAGTTATATGTAGATCTTTAGTTCATATTGTGTTAAATCCTGTATCTCTTGCTATTATGTGGTCGTTTCTATATTTTACAATTAAATAGGCTTCTTATCCAACATATTTTAGTATTGCTCTCAAAAAGTTGAGCTTTCTCTTGAATTTGTTCATGAGTGGCACATTTTTAATGCATATCAAATCATTGCAAATGCAGTTAGTCAATGCAAGATAACGTTACATGGTAATATATTATTTTGAAACTTATGACATTGCCAATCCTATTCCATTAGTAGGTAAAGCAAAAAAAAAAAAAAAAGACTCTTCGTCACTTAGTCACTAAGTTAAAATTGTGGCTTATTTTCACTGCTTAATAAAATTACAAAAACATATTCCTAAAGATTTTGGTATACCTTTATATAACTTTTCATACTTACTATCTAAATTTGAATAATTGGACATTTTTGGGTAAGTCAATGTTTGGATTAGCTATTTTTGGGGGTGTTTTTGAAAAATTTACTATAACAGAGTTTTAAGAGTATATTTTGGGATATTTTAGAAAATATTTTGAGATATTTAAGAGTAGAAAAATTTCTAGAATATATTTTGAAATATTTTTTAAAATTTAAAAAAAATTAGACTACTTTTTAGAGTACCTTTTAGAGTATTTTTTTAAAAAAATTTATTGTATTTGAAAAAATAAAATTTCAAAAATAGGTGAATTCAAACAGTATAGTTCATTTCACTGGTTTCGTTTAGCTAGGAATATAGGTTAGTTACGTTTCAGACTTAGGGTCCGTTTGATAACATAAAAAAGTGTTGAATCTGAATTTTTTTAGACATTCAGATGTTTTGAGTGTTTGATAACTGAAAATCTATTTGCTGAACTTGTTAAGTAGTGCTGAACTTGTGTGTATTTTTTTCAGTACAAAAATTCTAACTGAATTCTTGATTCTGATAAGAATCAATAGAATTACTTCAATTACCTTATCTTATCTACCAAATCTACCATTGTTTGTTAATTATGTTCAAAATTCTAATCTAATTAAACAATATAATATTCTCTATCTAATGATTTTCTATTTCTTTTTTCTCCCTTTTGAATGATTTTCACATCTTCTCCATACTTCTCATATAATATATTTCATCTTTTATATTAATTTGATTTAAAAATAAATATTGTCATTTTCATATCTAACATTTTTAACTGATCAAATCATATGTTCTATTTCTTTTTTGGATGAAAAGATATAAGGACAAATTTGTCAAATTTAACTTATTAAGCATTCAGTTATAAATGTTTATCAAACAGTATAAATAGATTTAACATTAAAATTCAGACATTCATATATTTATTTTCAGTATTTAAAATTCAGCAAATTAATTGTTTCAGTATTTAGATTTCAGAATTGAGATTCAGTTTTATCAAACGAAACTTAGCATACATAGGGACACATTTTTATGCCTAGTGTGAGCATCTTTTACTTTTTGGATCCAGAGCTAGCCGTTCACAACTAGGGGTGAGCAAATTCGGTTCTTACCGAATTCATAACTGTTTTAAAATTCAATTCGGTAATTTGAAATCGGGTATTTAGTAATTTGGTACAAATTCGGTACGTACCAAATTCATCGAATTCTAATATGGTATGAAATAGGTAATGAGATTATGAATTAGGTAATAACTGATTTCGCATTCAAATTCGGTAATTGAAATCGGGTACTGCATTACCGCATTCGAATTACCAAATTGGTATATAAAATTATATAATATATAGATAAATGCTATTTAGTATTAGTATATACTACTAATACTTTATTATATTATATAGGTAAATGCTATTAATAATAATTAGTATATGGTATTATCATCATATCATGTACTTATAATACTAATAATATATAATAATGTACAATATATTTATATTATTTTAGTATTTATTAATTGTTATATGACTACAATAATGCATAGTAATACATTTCAATATAAGATAACTATAATATTTATTATTTTACACATGAGTAACATGACTAGAATTAGATAATAATTAATACATATATGTATAATACTAAATATTAAACAATAAACATAATTAGTAATTAGAATTTAGATATTGGTAATTTGATACATCATTTATGTTTGAATTATTGAATGTTTGAATGCGTAATCTGTGACGACCCCACCTCCCCCTAAGGCGTACCAGAGGGTTTGGCGGACCGCCTGCCCAGCTCTCGCCAGGACTCACTCACTATAATCACGTGCATACACACCAAGCACCATTAATAATATCCGCAATTCAAGCTTATAATTTACATTGATAGGAATCAAGGTACAAAGTCTCGATACACTTAACTAGTTCAAAATATATACAATCCAAGTACAAAATGTTCCATCCGAGGAATAGCGCGAGTACAAAACCAAAATTCAAAACAAAGTCTAAAGTAACTAGACTACGCTAGCCTTTACACTTCTCACGCTTCACCCGTACCCCTGTAAGGAAAACAAACTAACGGGGGTGAGCCAAAGCTCAGTGAAGTTCCCAAATATCAAATTGGTCAGCAAGCCAAGTTATAGCAAAATAAAAGTGAAATGGCGAGCAAACAAGTCAAATCAAGGAAATAGTACTTCAGCTAGTCAAGTAGTATTAGATGCACATTCACATATAAGGATACGGTATTCATGTTACGGCTCCATTCCAGCTTGGTCAAGTGGTAGTTGACACTCCGTCAACTTTCAAGTAATTCCAAGTCCAAATAAACTCCGCTACACGCCAATTTCCGTCCACCAATCAACCCCCTATTCCGGGCCCGCACGCCATACAAAACATGGGTGGTAATACTCGAGTATACCGTTAGTCGAGGAGATAACACTCCACTCGACATTACAAATGACCCAGGGTTTGTTATCTAATCGACCAGGCCCTTGCCGGCTCGACTCGATTAACTAGCCACAGGGTTTCTGGAATTCCAGGCAAGATATAATTCAAGTACATGTACAACAAGTCAAGTATGATCAATAGCAAGAACAGGTCATATTAGGGCAAGTGCGATAAAGTACACCCTTGCCCTTTCATTCATTGTCATGTAATCACGCAAGTCAAGTAGGAAACACACACATCAAGTACAATCGGATATTTGGAAGCACTCACCACAATAGTGCTTCTAGTTTTCGCGTCGAGGTGGTACTCCGGGTTGGGAGTCCAAATCTGCGATAAAACTCAACTTGAGAACTTTGAAAATCAACTAAGATTCGAAACTTAAGCGTTTCGTTCAATTAAGAATCAAGAAATTGAAATTCACTTGAGAAGAGTCGTGAAATAGTTGCTCGCTCTTCAAACTGAAAAATTTGATAACATTTTTGCTTGAAAATGACTCTTGAGTCAAAAGTGCAAGTAAAACGGTTTCATAGTGTTTCATATCGTTTTCCTAAGGGTACAAGTTCGGCCAAGTCCTAACATATAACCCTTGATAAACAAATGACAAAGGTCCTCGATAGTTCAAGGAATAATCACTTAACCTTCACTCAAGTCGCAAAGATAGTTTTCTAGACTTCGAGTAAAAATTCGGACAGCATGCCCTTTGTGTTTACCTAATTTCCAGCCATTTAGGCTTCATTATTTTTCTTCAACAACATCCCAACATCATACAATCAGCAATTTATGTCAAGAGCCGTTCCATAGGCTCACCATATCATAATAACAAGAATCGTATTAAGTACAAGTGCAGAAACGCAATTTAGTTCAAGACAGATTTGACGTACAAATGCGGTAATACCATACCCGAGGCTACGCTTATCGGATTAAAACGAAACCTATGCCGTTTCGAAGCTAAGACACAGAGATACAACATTCATGAAGGTCACGTAGTCCAGTTTCTAATGTAACTTAGTCAAATTCTCGAATTACTAAACCTGAAACCAGTTCGTCGGTTGTTTAAACGCAGAACACTGTAATGAACCTAACTCAGTGTACACAAGTCCGAATCAGGTGTTCTTAGAGGCATTTTAAAGCTACTTCATAGCACCACAACTTTCATGTTTTGGTCCAGAGCTAAATCAAAATGGATCCTGGTCAAAAATCGTGGTAAACTGGACTCAACTGCTGAAACGGACTGCTGGGAAATACCTAGAACAGTAAGGGTATTTTGGACTTTTCACATCCTACGTTACTCCGATTGAGCTGAAATTTTACAGGAACCTATAAAACACCATTCTCTACAACTTTCCTTCTTTGACCAAAGGCCAATTCGGCCTCTAACATATAGATACAATTTCGAACAGAATGCTTGGGAAATTTTCCAGAAATCTGGAATTTTAGCTCTAAGTGTAATTTCCTCAAATTTCTGGTTCTAATCACCACCAAACAACCTTATATAACTTTAATTGCAACATTCACACATCATACATCACATTGAGCAGAAAATCAGAAACCCTAGTTCATCAAATAAATTGGGGAAAAACTCCTACACATGCTAGCATCCATGAATCTACCACCAATCAAGCTACCAAGCTTACTTTAACCATGATTGAAAGAGAAAGTTAGAGAGATATCATCCTCTTACCTTGATTAGAAGTCCCTAAGAGCAGCCCCAAGCTTTCTCTTCCCAAATTTTCACCACCAATCACTAGATAATCACTCAAGAGTAGGTTTAATCGGTTTACTTTGTGGATTTTCTCACTAAGTTGTTGGATTTGAAGGTGAAATGAAGAAATCTTCCTTGGTGTTTTCTCCAAGCTAAGTTCGGCCAGCACCAGCAGAAATGAGGAAGAATTGGCTAAGTGTTAAGGTTATATGGATGGAGTTTGTCTTGGTAAGAAGCCATGAGGTGGTGACAAGTGTCACCACCACCACCCTTTCTTTTTCTCTTTCTTTCTTGCCTTTCTTAGCCACCAATTTTCGGTCAACATGCTGCCAAGAGAGAAGATATTATGTGCAAAAGTCAACAACTTGTTGGGTAAGAAAAAAATGGTGGTCAAGCAGTGCGTTCAATCTGTAATGCGCGGGACCCGCCGGTTCGCGCCGTTTTTCTTAAAAACTCACGTACTATGGTTTTTACTTCCCATTCACTAACCTTATATCGTCGCTCCTAGTCACATATTATTTCTCACTTAAAAGTCACCTTTAATTATCAAATTGATCCTTGGCCAGTACCGAAAATTCATCCGGCGGAAAAATCGCAAAAACCCTAATTTTGCTCAAAACTTGAAACCAAAGTGTAAAACCTTATTTTCTAGGTTTATTTACACTTAGTGTGATATAATGAGGTAGGGGCCTTAATAAATAATAATTTTCAAATAAAAGGCATTTTTGAGGAAAAATGTAGGAAATTTGCGGATCCTCACATCCTCTCCCCCTTAAAAGAATTTCGACCTCGAAATTCATACCTTTTGTCGCGAACAGGCCAGGATACTTTTCTTGCATATCCGTTTCTAGCTCCCAAGTTGCTTCTTCCACTTCATGATGCTTCCATAGTACCTTTACTAAAGGAATCTGCATGTTTCTCAAGTCCTTCACCTTTCGATCCAGTATTTGAATAGGTCGTTTTTCATAGGTTAAAGACTCGTCAAGTTCAACATCTTCGGGTGGCAAAATGTGAGTCGGATCCGGATGGTATTTCTTAAGCAAAGAAACGTGGAAAACGTCATGGATCCTAGATAAGCTAGCTGGTAACTCAAGTCGATAAGCCACCTTTCCTATTCGTTGTAGCACATTGAAAGGTCCTATATATCGTGGTTGCAACTTTTTCCCTTTTCCGGATCTAATCTTTCCCTTCAATGGTGTGATCCGAAGAAACACCTTATCTCCTATTTCAAACTCCAAGTCTTTCCTCCTATGATCGGCATAGCTTTTCTGACGGATTTGGGCTGTCTGAAGTCTCTGGCGGATCACTCTCACCTTTTCATAGGCTTCCTCAACCCATGGTATAGTAGCTGGATCTATGACTTTTCTCTCCCCTACGTCATCCCAATGGATTGGAGATCGACACCGCCGTCCATACAAGGCTTCATATGGGGCCATTTGAATAGAGGAATGATAACTATTGTTATATGCGAATTCAACCAAAGTCAAATATTGGCTCCAACTTCCTTTAAAATCCACGATACAGGCTCTCAGCATATCCTCAAGAGTTTGGATAGTTCTCTCAGATTGTCCATCAGTTTGCGGGTGATACGCTGTGCTATAACTCAGCTTAGTTCCTAGAGCCTCTTGTAATTTCTGCCAGAATCGGGATACAAACCTAGGGTTTCTATCCGATACAATACTCACTGGTACCCCATGTAGTCTCACTACCTCATCCATATAAAGTTTAGCAAGTTTCTCCAAAGGATATTTCATGTTCATCGGCAGAAAATGTGCAGTCTTAGTTAATCTATCCACTATCACCCAAATTGCATCATGCCCCTTTTGTGCTCGTGGCAATCCTGACACAAAATCCATCGTTATGTGCTCCCACTTCCACTCAGGGATCTCTAAAGGCTGTAACAAACCTGACGGCTTTTGATGCTCAGCTTTTACCTGTTGGCACGTAAGACATTTTTGTACAAACTGGGCAATCTCCGCCTTCATTTTCTCCCACCAATACAGATTCTTAAGATCTTGGTACATTTTTTTATTCCCTGGGTGCACCGTATACCTAGAGCAATGTGATTCCTCTAAAATCTCCCTTTTCAATTCCTCATCCCTAGGTACCACGACACGATTTCGAAACTTTAATATTTCATCAGGGCTTAGATTAAAATTAGGTAACTCCCCTTTCTTCACTCTCTCTACCCACATCTGCACTATTGGATCCTTCTCTTGGCCCTCTTTGATTCGTTCCATCAATGCCGATTTCGCCTCAATATTTCCAAAAACCACCTTTTCCGGTTCCAAACGAGGTTTCCACTCACATACATCTTCCAATAGGCTCCACTCTCTCACTATAGAACTTGCTAGTTGAGCTTTCCGGCTTAAAGCATCTGCTACAACGTTGGCCTTTCCGGGATGGTAGTTAATTGTACAGTCATAATCTTCTAAGAACTCTACCCACCGACGTTGTCTTAGATTTAACTCTTTCTGAGAAAACAGATACTTAAGGCTCTTATGATCCGTATAAACCTCGAAAGTTACACCATAGAGATAATGTCGCCATTTCTTCAAAGCGAACACTACAGCTGCAAGTTCCAAGTCATGGGTCGGATAATTTTGCTCATGAGTTTTTAACTTTCGAGATGCGTAGGCAATCACATTCCTATTCTGCATCAACACGCACCCTAGCCCTTCTTTTGAAGCATCGGTATAAACCGTATAACTATCCTTTCCACTGGGCAAAGCTAAAACTGGAGCCATAGTCAATTGTTTCTTAAGCTCTTGGAAACCATTTTCACACTTAACATCCCAAATATACTTTCCTTGTTTCTTGGTCAGGTTAGTCAAGGGTCCTGCAATTCTCGAGAAATTCTTTATAAATCTGCGGTAGTATCCTGCTAAACCTAGAAAACTTCGCACCTCAGTGGGATTTTCTGGCCGTTTCCATTTGGCTACAGCTTCCACTTTTGCTGGGTCTACAGCAAGGCCATCTTTTGAAATTATATGACCTAAAAACGCCACCTCTTCCAACCAAAATTCACACTTACTGAACTTAGCAAACAGTTGGTGCTCTCTTAGGGTTTGCAATACTATCCGCAAATGTTGTTCATGCTCCTCCCTTGACCTCGAATACACCAATATGTCATCAATGAACACCACTACAAACCTATCCAAGTAAGGTTTGAACACTCGATGCATCAGATCCATGAATGCTGCTGGGGCATTGGTCAAACCAAAAGGCATCACTGCGAACTCAAAATGCCCATATCGAGTATTAAACGCCGTTTTTGGCACATCCTCTTTCTTAACTCTCAATTGATAATACCCTTGTCGCAGGTCCAACTTAGAAAATATTACAGCCCCTTGTAACTGATCAAATAACTCATCTATGTGGGGCAAAGGATATTTATTCTTAATAGTTACTGCATTCAGCCCTCGATAGTCAATACACAACCTCAAACTTCCGTCTTTCTTTTTAACAAATAACACTGGAGCTCCCCACGGCGACTCGCTCTCATGTATAAACCCCCGTTCTAGCAAGTCCTGTAATTGTACCTTTAATTCCTTAAGCTCAGCAGGTGCCATACGATAAGGAGTTTTAGAAATGGGAGTGGTTCCGGTTACTAAATCAACCTTAAATTCCACCTCCCTTTCAGGTGGCAAGGACTTCAACTCCTCCGAAAATACGTCCGGAAATTCACTGATTACTGGCATGTCTTCCAACTTAGTTTTTTCTCCTGGAGTGTTAATTAGGAAGGCTAGGTAACCACGAGCCCCACGACTAAGCAATTTCCTAGCTCTTATACCCGAAATAAGTGCAGAAGAGGCTATCATACCCCTCACATCAAGCTTTAGAGTTGCCTCTCCGGGTATACAAAATTCGACCACTTTCACCTTACAATCTACTCGAGCATGATAGTGAGCTAGCCAATCCATACCTAGGATAACATCGTACCCCTTAATGGCTAGACTAATAAGGTCCACTACCAATTTCCGTTCGCCAATCCAAATATCACAATTCTTATACACCTCATTTGCAAGCAAGATTTGATTACCTGTAGGTGTTCTTACCTCTAAGTCATAAGGTAACCTTTCAACTTTCGAGTCAATTCCAAGCATAAATGCAGGATTAACAAAAGAGTGAGTAGCACCGGGGTCTATTAAAATTCTAGCTAACCGGTGAAAAACAGGGATTGTACCTTCTACCACCCTGGTTGGTTCAGGCACAGTTGTTTGATCTAGCGAGTACACTCTGGCCGGTACCCTCGACCTGGCCCCTCCAGCAGTAGTCGGCTTTGGGTTTGACCTGGCAGTCGACTGAGTGTCATTGATTAGCGGACAATTGACCATCTGATGATCCGCACTTCCGCACCTCAAACACTTCCGAGCCTTTCTCCAGCACTCGTCCTCAGTGTGGTTCGATTTTCCACAATACCCACATGTCACTCGGGGAGTGGAGGTTTGGCCTCCCGGAGTAAAACCTCTACCTTGACCTCTACCGCCCTGGCCTCCCCTCTGGGCCTTCCCTCTCGGAGCACTGCCCCTAAACGTGTTCGAAAATCGTCCACCTCCAGTTCCACGACCGGATTTAGCAGGCGGCATGCTCCGCTCGCCTCGTACCGACCCTTGGGCTCCACTAGGTGCCCCTTTCCGCTTAGCGTGGAAATTCCTCACTTGCGTCCTAGCAGTTTCTATCCTTAAAGCCTTCTCCAGAACCTCCGTGAAAGTATTGATTTGGACAGCTGCTAAGGCTTCTTGCAATTCCACATTTAACCCTTGTATAAACCTCCGCACTTTTCTCGGCTCCGTAGCTATCAGTTCGGGAGCAAATTTGGACAACTTGGTAAACTGAGTCTCATACTCAGTTACACTCATCAGTCCCTGACGGAGTTTAATGAATTCGTCCTCTCTCTTCTCCTGGACGATGGGTGGAAGGTATTTTTCATTGAAGTCCCGTACAAAGTTTAGCCAAGTCCAGGCGGTTTCCTCTCTCTCCCACTTGGCCCTCACTACATTCCACCAAGCCCTAGCTGGCCCTTCAAATTGAAATACGGCAAATTGGACTTGTCTCTCCTCAGTGTAGTTTAGGGCAGCAAAGATATTTACCATGGCCTCCAGCCATTTCTCAGCCTCATACGGATCTGGTCCTCCTAAGAATTTGGGTGGCGAGAATTTCTGGAATCTCTCCAAGGCTCTATCCTGCCCTGAATCAGGGTCTCTAGGTTGATTTACAGAACCTTGACCCTGTTGCTCCACCAACCGAGTCAAAATATTGGTCATCTGTTGGATGGCAGTGGCCACCTGATCTCCCCCGGCAGTCTGGGGTTCAGGTTGCTGCTCAACCGCTGCCTCCCTCTCCTCTCTCGGTTCAGGCACCGGTTCCTGTACTTGTTCACCTTCACGGCCTCGCCTAGAACCGCGTTCTCGATTAGCTTTCTTAGTCCGACTTCTCTTATCTTCCATGTTGAGAGTTAACCAACTAGAACCATATAAACAGGGTAAGGTACGACTCATATATCGCGTTGTAACAATATAACTAGAGGTAAACAAACCCGTAAGAAACAAGCACTTTATTTACATATCAAACAAGTCATATATACAGGCCAACAAGTCACATAGTCAAAGGCTATAACAGCCAAGGAACATAGAACAAAAGGTATTTACATCCACCAGGACACGTCTAAAACAAAAACAAAAGAAGACGTGTCGTCCCACTATGTTCCTAACTAACCCACAAAAACTCCTAAACCCTGATCCTAACAAGTGGTCTGGCTAGACGCCGACCCAACCGACTCCGAGGACGCGCTCGGCTCCTCCTCCAGGTCCTCCTCAGGACCCTCCCCTGGATCCTCCTCAGGGCCACCGGGAGCGGCAGGAGCTACAGGCGCTTGGCCCTCCTCGGCCAAGTCCTGCATCACATCCTCTACAAGTGCCTCGCACTCAGTCAGGATGTGGTCGGTCCGGTCTCGTATGTGTCCAACTATGTGCATCAAACGTCCAGTCACCGCATGAGCCTGATCACGGTAAGCATCAGACTGCTGCTGCTCTGCCAGAACTGCGGCCTCCAACTCTCGTATCCGAGCTCCCTGATCTCGGAGAGTGGCCTGGAGACGCTCTATCTCCGCAAAGCACCTACGATTGGTGCTACCCAATCGTCTCCGATCGTCATCTATAGCAAGCACTACTCGATAGTGCAAGTAAAACGGTTTCGTAGTGATTCATATCGTTTTCCTAAGGGTACAAGTTCGGCCAAGTCCTAACATATAACCCTTGATAAACAAGTGACAAAGGTCCTCGATAGATCAAGTGATAATCACTTAACCTTCACTCAAATCGCAAAGATGGTTTTCTAGACCTCGAGTAAAAATTTGGGCAGCATGCCCTTTGTGTTTACCTAATTTCCAGCCATTTAGGCTTCATTATTTTTCTTCAACAACATCCCAACATCATACAAATAAGCAATTTATGTCAAGAGCCGTTCCATAGGCTCACAATATCATAACAACAAGAATCGCATCAAGTACAAGTGCAGAAACGCAATGTAGTTCAAGACAGATTTGACGTACAAATGCGGTAATACCATACCTGAGGCTACGCTTATCGGATTAAAATGAAACCTACGCCGTTTCGAAGCTAAGACACAGAGCTAAAACATTCATGAAGGTCACATAGTCCATTTCCTAATGTAACTTAGTCAAAATCTCAGATTACTAAACCAGAAACCAATTCACCGGCAGTTTAAACGCATTATGCTGTAACGGACCTAACTCAGTGTACACAAGTCCGAATCAGGTTTTCTTTGAGGCATTTTAAAGCTACTTCAGAACACTACAACTTTTATGTTTTGGCCCAGAGCTAAATCAGAATGGATCCTGGTCAAAAATCGTGATAAACTGGACTGAACTGAAGAAACGGACTGCTGGGAAATTCTTAAAACAGTAGGGGTATTTTGGACTTTTCACGTCCTACGTTGCTCCGATTGAGCTGAAATTTTACAGGCACTTATAAAACACCATTCTATACAACTTTCCTTCTTTTACCAAAGGCCAATTCGGCCTCTAACATATAGGTACAATTTCGGACAGAATGCTTGGGAAATTTTCCAGAAATCTGGAATTTTTAGCTCTAAGTGTAATTTCCTCAAATTTCTGGTTCTAATCACCACTAAACAACCTTATATAACTTTAATTGCAACATTCATGCATCATACTTCAACTTGAGCAGAAATTCAGAAACCCTAGTTCATCAAATAAATTGGGGAAAAACTCCTACACATGCTAGCATCCATGAATCTACCACCAATCAAGCTACCAAGCTTACTTTAACCATGATTGAAAGAGAAAGTTAGAGAGATATCATCCTCTTACCTTGATTAGAAGTCCCTAAGAGCAGCCCCAAGCTTTCTCTTCCCAAATTTCCACCACCAATCACTAGATAATCACTCAAGAGTAGGTTTAATCGGTTTACTTTGTGGATTTTCTCACTAAGTTGTTGGATTTGAAGGTGAAATGAAGAAATCTTCCTTGGTGTTTTCTCCAAGCTAAGTTCGGCCAGCACCAGCAGAAATGAGGAAGAATTGGCTAAGTGTTAAGGTTATATGGATGGAGTTTGTCTTGGTAAGAAGCCATGAGGTGGTGACACTTGTCACCACCACCACCCTTTCTTTTTCTCTTTCTTTCTTGCCTTTCTTAGCCACCAATTTTCGGTCAACATGCTGCCAAGAGAGAAGATATTATGTGCAAAAGTCAACAACTTGTTGGGTAAGAAAAAAATGGTGGTCAAGCGGTGCGTTCAATCAGTAATGCGCGGGACCCGCCGGTTCGCGCCGTTTTTCTTAAAAACTCACGTACTATGGTTTTTACTTCCCATTCACTAACCTTATATCGTCGCTCCTAGTCACATATTATTTCTCACTTAAAAGTCACCTTTAATCATCAAATTGATCCTTGGCCAGTACCGAAAATTCATCCGGCGGAAAAATCGCAAAAACCCTAATTTTGCTCAAAACTTGAAACCAAAGCGTAAAACCTTATTTTCTAGGTTTATTTACACTTAGTGTGATATAATGAGGTAGGGGCCTTAATAAATAATAATTTTCAAATAAAAGACATTTTTGAGGAAAAATGTAGGAAATTTGCGGATCCTCACATAATCTATAACTTGCAAGTATTAGTGTACTCTAAATTTACATTACATATTTACTAATCTTAAGGCTTTAAGTATAGATAAGACAACTAAACAGTGTAAGTGGATGTATATGAATTGCAAATCAATGTATTAGTGTATTGACTTTCACAATAACATTTGTAAATAAATAAGTTTAATTTTGATTTGAAATAAATTATAAGTTTGTAACTAACATAACTTATCACTAATCATTGTAATTTGTAAGTTTGTAACTAATATTACTTATTATTAATCATTGTAAATTATAAATTCATAAATTATTACTAATCATTGTACAGTCTAAGGTTTATTCTAGTTTAAATTAATCACTTTTTATGTGTTCCTTAAATCATAGACTAAGGATTGTAAGTATAAGTGATCAAACAAGTTAAAAGTTCATATTATCTATTTACTAATCTTAAGGCTTTAAGTATAGACAAAATAACTAAGAAGTGTAAGTAAATACATGTGAGTTGCAAATCAAGTAAATAAGTTTTATTTTGATTTGAAATAAATTATAAGTTTGTAACTAATATAACTTATCACTAATCATTGATTCATTGTAATTTGTAAGTTTGTAATTAATATTACTTATTATTAATCATTGTAAATTATAAATTCATTGTAACTACTAACTAAATTAGTTTAAATTAATCACTTTTTATGTGTTTCTTAAATCATATACCAAGGATTTTGGGTATAAGTGATCAAATAAATACCAATTAAACCCCAAAATGATTTGAACATAAGTAATGTGTTCAATTATGAATAAATTTGGGGATCAAACCAGTAATAATTTTTAAATCATTGAGGAGCATAATGAATGTATTATAATTTAGGAGCCCCAATTTGTAAATTAAAAATTACAAAATCACTTCATTTGGGAAAAGTCGGATTTCATGATTTTCATCTTCAGCTGATGAAAATTGAAAAGTGAGAAAACAACCATTGCAAATTTGCAATATTGCATAGTGCCGTGACTGCCATCACGTAGGGCTTTCACAGCACTAACACTCCCAAGTCCCAAGTCCCAATTCCCAAATCGAAGCTGCTCTCTGCCTCTCCGGCCTCCGCCAGTCCGCCGCGCTCTACGTCTCCTGTCGGCTGTGTCCTGCCGTGCTGGTTCATCGCTGCCGAGTGTCGAAGACGAAGCACCAAGATCTCACTTGTTCATCGCTGGTTCATCACTGCTCATCTCTGGCTCACTTAGGTAAGTGCTCCTCTGTTTTTGGCTCTGTGTCTCTGGCAGTAAAATGGCCAAGATCGACTTGGAAATTTGTTATCCTGAATTGATAAGGGGACGAAATCTGAGCTTCCAATTGCAAACTCTCACTATTATAGTAGTTTAGATTAGATTTGATATAACATAAGCTTTGTATTTTATACACAAGAAATCTCTCTCCAGTTGTGCAGCCTTTAAAAGTTAAGACCTTGGGGAAAAATTCCACCTTTTTCCCGTTAGAAAAATTAAAAAGGAAAAAACTTGCTAATATGAAAATTTTACCTCCTTGTCCGTGGAGATTCTCTTAATTAATGGGACTTGGCAACATTCTGGATGAAGTTATGCACTTGTGCTTCTTTGAAACTAGTCTATTCTTGCCTTGAATATTATATCGGCCTACAACATTTTGCATAAAACTGAATCTATTTTTTATGGTGAAGTTAATACTGAGTCTATTTTTTTTCATTGTGACTTGTGAAATGTGAACTTGAAAAGTGTGTTAGTGTTACTTTGAATAACTTGTAGTTGTATTGTATATTGGCAGTTGGTACTTGGTACTCCAGATTTGTATTTGATGGATTTTGGCATTTGTAATGTGTGTGTAATAATTTGGATGTTGATTTTCTTTGAATTGGTGTTGTAGGCTTGTAGCCTGTAAGTTTGCAATTAGAATTAGTTTGCAATTAGCCTCATAGCCTGTAAGTTGTACAGAAGCAGCGTTGCAAACTTAAGCTGATAACAGGGTATTTTTATCTTTTTTTTTGGAATAGATGAATTCGGTTTAACCGAATTCATTACCGTTTTCGAATTTGAAATCGGTTGCGGAATGAATTCGGTTATGCCCAATTCGGAATTGAAAACGGTTTAAAATTTTACAGGTAGAATAACCGAATTCACCGAATTCAGTGCACCGAATTTGCACCGAATGCACACCCCTATTCACAACACATGCTTCAGGAAAGTTTTACCACTAAGCGTAACTGCCTTAAACCCAATGTTTTCAAACTCGGATCGGACCGAACGATTCGACTGCGAACCAGTCATGTATCCGGTCCGATTCATAGCTTATGTTGACTTGGATAAAAAACCGGTCAAAACCCGTAAAAACCGTTCAAACCATTAAAATCGGCTCGAACCGTGAACCGTGGTTTTCCATTTTTTGAGTCAAAATTGACAAAATTTCCAATTTTGACCCTAATCTTCACTTCAGTCTTCCTCTTCGCACTTTGCTTCGGTCTTCCTGCTTTCTCTCTCTGCAATTGCCGAAATTGCCTTGCCTGCCGTCTCTATTTCCTTCTCGCCTTAATAGCTTAATTCTAATCCCTTCTCCAAACTCCAAACTCCAATCTTGACTTCTTGAGCCATAGCAATCAGCAAAAAGGAAGCACCGCAGCATGAGGTTTTTCCGCCCGCTGCTGTGATTCTAAGCCAAAAAAACCCTGGAATTCAAGCTTATACCAGGTTCGTTAATCTTTTTTCCCCTTTTTTTTCCTTTAGTTGTTGATTCTAAGCCAAAAAAAAACTCTGGAATTACGCTTTGGTTGCTTTGAGGATAACAAGAGCAATTCTTGCATAACAGATTTACAAAGTTCTTTTATTTTCCACTAAATTGCTAATTTCCAAATGTGTAGAAGTTAAATTTGGGGATTTTAACTTTTTATACCCTGGATGCAGAATTTCTTTCGAAATGAGAATTTGTTGCCTGAGAGCGAGCTAGAATATTCCGCTGAGGGAGCTAGAATGAAGTTGCTAAACCTTATAGAGGGATACCTGTTGGAAAATTCTGTTACTCTCTGCAACTCTGCTCATTTAGTTTTCCTTTATTGTGCAGAGAATAGGACTAAATGCTGCACTTCACTGTATAAGGTCTTGTGTCTGGTGAGATAAGAGCCCTAATAGGACTAGATCTAATGACAAAAGTGAAATCTTGCACCATTTGGAGGATTTTTCTTAACGGGCTGTTGATGAGACCTGGGCTTTTGAATCATGACATCACTGAAATATATTTTCTTTTCCTAAATGAAAGAATGTCTAAATTAGGCTCACAATTCTTACTGAATAAACATATTGTTGGTTTTTCCAAGCTGATATATCCACACAATGCCCTATTTTGGAATTCCTGAAATGATACATTCTGATGTGTTGTGCTGATTCTTGATGAATAAAGTATCAAGTAGTTATTTCGCCTGTCATATGTTTAACTCCGCTTGACCTGATTGGAATTATGACTCGTTTGGAAATTTAGGATTATAAATGAATTCAAGTACCATTTTGCTACTGAACTACTATGAGCCATCTGAACTTCAACTTCTATTTGTTTTTTGGTGGTGCAAACAAGTGTAGAGTTCCCTTTTCTCCTTCTAATATTAGATCAATAGCTGTCCTGCCTTCATTAACATGACAGATGAAATCCATACCAAAATCTACAGTAACATGACAGATGAAAGTTTTCAAAATGTTAATTGTGTATGTTAATTATTGGATATTGCTCTTATGTTAATTGTGGTTTAGCACTTATATCTTATTCTGTGCATTGGTGTGTGTGTGTGTGTGTCTATATATATATATATAGATATATTTATTTAATTATTTATTGAACCTCGACCCTTTCACTTCATTGGTTCAATTGACGGTCCGGGTTTTAAAACATTGCTAGTTAAATCCAAAGCCTAAATAAACATTAAAGAAGAACTGCTTTCCTTCCCGCCAAAAGCACTATCAGCATTGTAGGCAGAAAGGGCTAGAGTCTCACGGAGGGGTCATCGAGCTAGGTCAGAATTCCGGTTCTATAAAACTCCAAAACCACACCACCCTCTACTCCAATTATGGCTGAGGTTACAATTTTTGAAGGCATTAGGGCTCAAAATCTGACCTTCACAGAGAATTTGAGGTTGTTAGGGGTCCAGCTATGGCAAGTACTGAATAATAATCGTCGTTCACTCCTTGGCATTGCTCAATTCACCCTGTTAGCGGTCGGATGGGTGATGTTCGCATTCTTCACCGACGACGGCAACCGGATTGAGGGTATTATAATGCCAGAGTATGAGTATTTTGGGGCAGCTACTTTTCTGACATTTGCGGGAACAATTGGATGTTATTGTTCTCTGTTGGTTTTGTGGCTTACTCAAAAGTTGATACACTGCTTGAGGCAGTGTGGGTTCAACGGATTATCTAGTTCTGTCACTTTCGTTGCCTCTGCGATCTTCAGCGCGTGGTATCTGTTCTTATCCGCTTTCTTGGGGCTTTGTGTCGTGGAGGACGTGACTTCCTTTGATGCTATGGTGGCGATTACATGGGGGCTATTTGTTTCTATGCTGTTTCTGGAATTGCCGGATGATTTTGGGCTCACCGATTCCTTTGTAGCTGCCAATTTTGGCATTGCAATCAAATTATCTGCATCACATTCTATCTGTCCATCAAAATTGTTTGCCATGCATCTGTCCACCGCTACCTGTTCATTAGAATTGTTTGCCATGAGTCCGTCTACTGCACCGTCAACATCTCCCGGTCTAGTAGTTCTGAAGAGGATTGCTATTGCCTTCACCCCATTATTGGCAAAGATGGTGGTTACACGTGTCCTAGGCTTATGGACTCACAGGCAAGAGGAAGAGCTTGTTGCTGGATTCGCAGATGCGAGTCCAGAATAAGCTGCTTAGCATGTGAGTATCGTTGACGTTGGTTCATCATAATTAGTGTTATTGTTGTTTTGATTATTTGGAACTACTTGATTTTGATCTTGAAATTTTGGTTTTGTGCAAAGGACTTGAAAGAATAAAGAAGACAATGAAGAATAAATGCTGGGGAAAAGTTACCTATGCTGGTGGTGGCATTTGGATTTTGTGGATGTTTAAGAATAAATAAGCAAATCTGATTAGCACTCTACCTCTCTCACTAAGCACCGGTTGCCTAAATAGATGGTGAATGTTGATCTGGCCATCTCCAGCCATGGAGTGATTGTTAGGTAATTTTCTCGTTTTGTGTGCAGATATTTCAGTATGTTGAATTGTCGATACACAAGTGCATTAATGTGTCCATTGTCTTGAAGGGAGAACTGATTATGTCTGTGTTATCTTGACGTGCATCTTTGTATGCCACTAACCAGCTTTAGCCCTGCAATTTATTGCCTGGAATAGGTGTAAGCACTATAAACTTAGACAAATGTATGAATCTCTCTACTTTCTCCTTAAGTCCAAAAATTGATTTCTGGGGAACATATCTGACTCATTTGACTTGATTCATTTATCCTACTAATACTTAAGAAGTATTTTTACTTCCACTATTCAATGCTTTTCATCTTCACAGGATTTTTATAAAATTTTTGAGGAAAGGTTTTAGTGCTTTGAAGCATTGTGCACCAATTTTATGTGCAGCCATATTTTGTTTAATTACCTTTTCACCCTTTTGCTTGAGCTAAAGTTCACCTCTGAGAAGGGCATTTCCTTGTATAATATAAAAAGGAGTTTATTTTGCACTTGTTCTCTGATTTACGACTGCCTATTCAGGGTTTATAGTGTCCTTGCTTTATGAGTCTGATATGTCCTTATTGCAATGGGCACAAGTATTCTGAATGAAGCTTAGAGTTTTGGTAAATGCACTCTGGTATCCCCTTTTGCTTTCAACAGCGTGCTAAGCTGAGATTATTAATGCCTAGCTGCTATGTGAATTTGCTGAAATGTCCTGGAAGGTGCCATTCTGACTTTTGAGCTGAGCTTTAAAAGCTCCTTGGATTTTCCATAATTTGCTGTTGTAATGAAGTTTTTCATCAGTGGTCATTAAAATTGTATTAAGCCATGGGATGGCTACTACCATTTGTTGGTCATTTATTTCGGATCCAAGTAACGGCTTGTTCTTCCTCTCTTACGATCTGTTGATTTCACATTATTTGCCACAATTAGGTTTAGGTTGTTGGCTATGCTTTATTCGTGGTGTGTCTTTTGGTTTTAGGTCTTTTAAAGGATCTTAGTTTCTTCTCTTTTTACCTCTAATTTTATCAATTTTATGCAAGTTTTTGTTGCTGAAAAACTCAGAAAAAATTACACACAAAAATTCACTGACTACTGTGTGCCTTAGAATTGAATAGGGATATGGCTTGTCAAGCAACAAGACCACTTGATTGGAAATTTGGCATCAAAGCTGCTGCAAAACTCCAATGGGAAATCCAAGCAGCTGCGCCACTTCGGACCACCTCCTTGCACGGTCTTGGTTGACAAGAACACTAGCATCATCTGCCAGGGCATCGCCAGCGAAAACAGAAGCTTACAAACTGAACAAGCCACCAAATTCGGCACCATAATGGTAAAGAAAGAAAACATTGACAGAACTCGTATATGTACACTTAAAGTTATGTTAAGCAATTAATTATTGATCCAGGAACTATTCTGCCAATACTTTTGATTGATTGTATCCTCGTCTAAGCTATTATATGAATTATATAAGTCATTTCAACTGCTAGATTTTGTAGACTGTTGGAAATCAACTTCCAATACTGATTTTCCATGCTTTATGGTGAGCATGAATACTTGCAAACGATCTGGAGATAAATTGGCTGTAGCTTCAGCTTTTTAATTATCTTGGCCTTAATCTCATAATACCATCAAATTGTTTGCCCTATTACCCAATTATCATTTAATATCTTTGAACTCTAAAGCTTGGGTTCTGCATTGCAGCTATTGTTGGATATTTTACTCCTAATGGCGAGCCAAAGGCAGAAAAGAAGCTGATGGGGGCAGGCTGCTTGGAATGAAAGGTATGAGATTCTTGGTGGAGGAATTATGGGTATCAGTCAATTGTCATTGTCTCATGTTTTGCATAAAACAAAAAAAGGTTCTGATTACTTACAAATTCTCACACTTCCAGTCCTTTTTTTTTTTGTAAGCCAGTTTTTATATTAAATAGGTTGAAATGATTGCAAGCACTTGAGTATGAAACAGGTTAATTTTAGTTCATGAAAATTGCATTAAAAGTTTTTCGAGTAAAATCTTTATTAATGATATCGTCAGGTCCTCTTCTCATCCTCACCTTTGGGTGTATCACTGTTGTTTTTGGGCTTATAGATTTTCTCCACCTCTTTGATTGTAATCTTTGATGTTTGTTCTTTTTTTAATGAATTCTAATGTCTGATATAGTGGGGCTTTGATTTTAATTTTTGTATTTGTTTTAGTAAAAAGGGTTTGACTTTGTGATCTCTTATTTTATTAAGAAGTATTGTTGATTTGGAAATAAAGTTAAGATTTCTGCTTATGGCATTTTTTGGACTAGTAGGACGCAGGGAAAGAAAAAGGATGGAAGATGAGTAAACGGAACAAGCTGGGAGAAAGAAGCTGTCTGCTTCAGCCATTTGCATCTACTACTGAGAAGTTATAAACTCTGTGACAATCATTGTTTCCTTTTTGTCATGTTTTACTCCTCAAGAACTAGAAAAAGCAATGGATGAAAATTATGGGAAAATAGTTGATGAGAAAGCTCATATTCTAAAAGTCAAGATGGAACTAGATGATCAGCTAGAATAACTCACTTCAGAATCTGATCATTAAGGTCACATGGAGCTGGATCAGCACTTACTCTCAGAAGGAAAACCCCACATTATTAATCTCTTCTCTCTTCTAAGGTCCCCTTTCCAAAAATTTATTGATGAGTAGATTATATGATGCATGCATAAGCTTTTAAGGCTTAAACTGTGTGCTTTTTGTGCCAGGTTCTAAGAAGGTTCAAAAAAACTGAAAATTGTCCTGTTTCTAAAATTGACAATGTAAGGAATTTTTATGTCATTTTTCCTCCTTCATGGGCAATTTTTCTTTCCTCTTTATTTTCATTTTCGTGGATTCGGAGTTTAAAGTTGTATAGTGTGGAATGTTCTCATGCAAGTCTGATTGTTATTAGTATCAAATGCCCTTTTGACACCTGAAATAGTCAAAATTTCTCATTCTAGTTTTATTAATTTTAATTAGCTGGCCAACAAAATAGATATTTCTGCCTCAGCTGATAGTGGAGAAAGAAGGTTGGTTATGACTCCAGCTAGGCTTCGGATTCGAACTTGCAAATGGTCTGTGGCTTTAGGCCTTTACTAGTCTAGTATAATTCAAGAAAATGCTAATGAAAAGGATTTATGTGAAACAGACAATTATGTCTCATGCCTGCTGCTTGTGAGCTGAACATTAGTCAGAAGGACTTTTGTTGGTTTATTTCTCTTCTTTACTGACTTTAGAGTTTAGATGATTAAAAAATGTAATCATTACAATGATGATGATGATGATAGGAAGCCCAATTTAGAGTATTCATTGGCCAATATGTGTTTTGTATGGTAACATTTTTCAATCAAACTTAAAGGTGGATTTTGATATGTGCATAATAATACCAAGTACAGTTTCTATATACATAAACTCCTAAATTATTATAGGTTGTGTTTGGATCCACTGTTTTTGGTAAAAACAGTTTTTGTAGTCAAAATACAAATTATAGTCAACTAAGTGTATTTGAAATGCTACACTCCCGCTCCTGCCATACGGTACTGTTTAGGGGCCCAAAAAGTAAAACTAGTTTTTCAATTAGCTTTCTTGTCCTTCCCGTTCCTGCTTCAATTTCCTGTTCTAAAACGTATCTCTAAAAATCACTTTCCTCTTCACTTTCCTCTTCTAAGCAGCAACAGCCGAGGTACAACGTATCTCTAAAAATCACCGGCCGTTTCAGCTCATCTGTTAATAATCCTTGGAGGTTCAATGCCCATGTCTCCGCAAGTTCAATCTTAGCTTCTCCGTCCTGAATTTGCAGCTTATCTTCAGCAGAGCAAAACTGTGAAGAAGGAGCTGAGTATACGCTGCAGAGCCACCCGGGAGAAGCGGCAGGGCCACTATCAGACTTCAAGAAGCATAATCAGCTTGCAAGTGCCATTTCGAAGTCGCGGCTACTTGCTCAGCGAAGGATTTTGATCCGCCTCTGCTCAGCTGTTGCTTCGTCGAGGTTCGTTCTACTGTTTACTTAATTGGGGCCTAATTCATACGAATTAGGGCTACAGTAAATAGTGAATGTGTTTGCTGTTCAATCAAAGCCTTTCTTGTGCTGATAGTATATGGTAGAGACTGTGAGTACAATTTTGAAATGGTTGTATGACACGTTGGATATTACATTTTATTTGACACAGCTGACATTCATGCTTCTTCATTTAAACTTGTAATTCTGCGGCAGTTCCACTTTTGATTTTCTTAAGTTCTGGTTTGGCACCTCAATTTTCCAATTCAGACTGGCAGCTTCACCATTTATTTGCTTTTGTGCTCTTCCCCGCATATGTAATGAGTATGCCCGAATTAGGGGTTTGGAGACAGGGTACGCATACCAACATATTAGCAAATAATTGAATGTGCTTGCATTTGCTTGTTTGGCATGCATAGGAGAGTTTTTTTTAGAAGCTCATGGTATACGTGTACCCTGTTAATTGGGTGAATATTGATGCTATTTTGTGGATTAGACATTTTATCAATTATTGTTGTAAGCTTAAATTGATCAGTTCTGGGCCAGTTCTCCGTTAATTGGGGTGTTCTTGCTACACTTTTATTTTGGATAAGGAATTTGATCAATTTGTGCTATTATTAAGCACCAGTGATTGTGCTTTGGTTATTGCAATTTGATTAGTGAAATATTTGGAAAACTGCGACTCGGAACTGGATTTACTATTTGGTTCTTGCTGTTGGAGTAGCTATTATTTTCTGCTGTTGTTGTTGTACTTGAGCCAATGCCATTCTGGTCCGTGCAATTTTATTGGGTGGCCTTGTGAAATTTTAATTAGTCCTAGCTTGCATGCTGCAAATTGACGCATTATCGCTGCTGTTTCGTTTTCAATGTTTTAGAGCACCTGTAGATGGCCGAAACTTTTTCTGGTTCTTATGTGAAGCTGTTTTGGTTCTGTGAGAGCGTTCCCCCCCATATTATAGCCTGACAAAAACTAAAAGATATTTGTGTCTGTGTTGCTGCTAAATATTAATCCAGTGTGATTGCATTTGGGGCTTTGAAATTCGAACTTCCAAGCCGAAGGTGCAATTGCCCTGGTGTTTCGTTTTTGGAATGGACATGAGTTTGAACGTATTGGTTAAATAGATGACTTGATCAACGAATATATGTTCGGTTCTTGCTTTAAATTACTGGCATTGTTGTTGCGCTCCATTCATTAATCTCCATTCATTGTTGTTGCTTTAACCATTTCATAGGATTAATTCAAGTAGTTTCTTGACTCCACGTTAGCCTCCTGTGAATACTTTTGTGGTGTTTTGCTAACAGTTAAAGAAATGATTCTGGTTTTTAGAAATTATTTGTTATCGTTTTATTAAGATTTTTACTGTTTCCCAATTCTTCATCAAAACCACTAATATTTCTCCAATTTTATAATTGGAAACCGAAAGCAACTGCACAACAAAAAGTCCTATAACAGATAATATCCACACAGGCACCAGTTGCTCGCTCTTTGCGCCAGGGGTACAACTAGTTTTACAGCATGGTTTTTGGTTTTCTGCATTTCTGGATGTTCAAGGCTAATGCTAGAGTAACATATATGTGCAATCATATGATTAACTGTGAAATCATTGATTATCTGGTTAATCTGATTCAAATTTTATACTTAAACCAAATATTTGCTGGTGACTGAGGTTTATTTTACCACAGCTTCATCTTTATCTTTATAATATTTAGGGAGATTCATCGTGGAATCATTTTTTGTTCTGCTTTTTAGACTTCAGAGTGCTTCAGGTGCGGCTTTAGCAGATTTGCATTTGAGGAGCAGGTTGAGGTTAGTCCTGGACTTCCTGTGCTTATGATTATTTTACTGGGCAGTCATGTTTACTATCTAATCTGGCTGAATAGCTGTGTATGTTCTTCTAAACTTTGAATAAATGCATTACATATTTGGCTGTCAAACCAGCTTGTTTAATTTTTTGATATTACAACAGTTCAAAGCTGTTTGTTAGATGCTCGATATCTTCAAATATTTGTGAAGATGGTGAAGTTTTTCTTGCACTATAGGAGGTAGCACTGTATATGGCTTACAAGTTCTCAATTGTGTACATTGGTATTATTCATAGCTTGTGCTGGCCATGTGATTTAATCTTACCATTTTGTAAATAACGTCTGGACCATATAGCTAACACATAAATTCAGATGCTGTAATGTATGTATTCAAACTGCTGAAATATGAACCTGATTACAGCTATGCTATCAAGCTGTTCCTGCAACTATTTGTGCATATATTCTCTCTTTCTAGTAGATATGGTTTTGATTTTTAATACTGGTTTAGATAACACTTGCATTTTTCTTAGCCTCTATTTTTCCAATCTAGTGATGTACTAAACTGGGTTTGATCACTATTTGTCTGTGATGGTCTCCGATTATTTTGGAGTGTGTTCCAATCACATGCTAGGTATGTCATGGAGGCATTATGGAAGTGATCTCCAGTCATGAGGTATTTTTTTATGTTGAAAGTTTCTTTTGCTTATTAGTTGTTCTTAGTTTCAGCCTCCAACTACAACCCCACTTTTGTGCAGGTTCTTGGTGAATAGACGTCCTTAAGTATGACACATACTTTTTGTAAGTTCATGCTAGCTATGTCTTACACCTCCCGTCCTCTCTGATCAAACGTGGTACGGAATTGACATGTTGAACTAAGATGAAATTTTGGAAGATCATACATCTCATTCTGTATAGGGTGACCGGAGATATGTGGTGCTCAATCGGAGTTGCTCGCTAGTCAAGAAAAATTCCTCCCCTAACTTTTTAGTTAAAATTTGGAGAATGACTAGCTTTCTATAGATGTCCCATGCCCCCAGCATAGTTTGTAAACTTTCTTGCATGTTTCAATGAAGATTGTGTTCTATTCTGGTTCTCAGACAATTTTAGTAGAAAATCTATTTGTTTTTGATAGATATATTAGTTGCATTTTATATCCAGAAATTTTCTGAATTAAAGTAATAGCATCTTCTGTTATCAGGCAGAGGCCATTGCTTTTATTGAAGCTAATGCGGTGGCTTTGAATTGGGATACCAAAAGCTACATGTTTGAAAATTGCAGTGCTACGTATTCCGACAATAGTCTAAATTGAGGGTTACTTCGTGCTAGCTAACTGCATTTGGCAGATGCTAATGGTCATTTGCTAAGTACGGAATTTCATTTTATCCGTAGAATCATGCTTGCCCTTCTAGAGATGCGCATTTCTGATTGTGAGTTCTAGAAAGGGCCTGCATCGTTATTCCCGGTTTCCCATGGCTGAACCGGAAAGGCATTTTCCACCCACTCGTTCTCTCTGTGCGGTATACATCTTCTTTCTGGACTCTACCATATTTCAATGAGAAAAATTATTATTTGTTTTTTTTACCCAAAAAAAAAGGAAATTATTTGTTTGAGATTGTCGTAATAAACTTGGTGAATTTGGAAAATCAGTAGAGGACTGAAGTGATTCATGTTATATTCGCGGGATAGCTGATTTGGTGAGTTTCTCTAGGCATAACAAATTAGATGAGGGATGCCGATGCAAGTTGGGAAAACATTATTGATGAATTTCTTAGAGCATTCATGACAAGTCATTCATACATTTGTGTTTATACTCCCTCCGTCTCACTTTGATAGTCCTGTTTTTTTTTTCTCGTATGTTCCAAATTGTAGTTCATTTTCCAGTTGAAGAATGTAGTTGTATTTTAATTTTCCTAAAATGCCCTTATTCAATGTAAGTTGTTGTTACTATAAACTTACCTCATTTAATGAGAGTTGATTCTTTTTTTTACCATCAATTCAAGTTTTCATAAAGTTGTACTCTATTTAATGTGAGGGTATTTTAAGAAAATAGTAATCTAAATTTACTTTTTCAACAAAATTAATTATTTTTTCTTAAACTGTGTAAAAAAAAAAACAGAATTATCAAAATGGGACGAAGGGAGTATATTTTTTGTTATGTCGTGCCATTATGTTGAAGAGACAGAATAACAACCTATTTGTAACACACTGCACTAACTTGAAATGCAATTAGGATGGCAACGAGGTGGGTCATCCATTCTCTGTCCCCGATGCCGTACTCTATTTCCCCCGATCCTCGGCTCATTCCCCACTTTTTCTCCCTTCCATTGGTTTCGCCCTCTCTGCCCGCTTATACCCTCGTGGTTGTTTAATTATATTTTCATTTGTTATTTTAACATCATTTTTTTAATTATATAACATCAAATAACAACATTATAAATCACAAAAAAAATTGTAAATCACTTTTTTATATTCTTAGTTAAATTTATTTCTCTACTTTTAATAGTAAATCTAAACTTATAATCATCATATATGTTTAAACAACTTATGTGACGATCCTACCTCTCCCTAGAACGTATACAAAGGTTTGACGGATCGCCTGTTCAACTCTTGTCAGACTCATTCACAAACTCCAATCAATAACACTAAAGTCCTTCAATACATCATTTGCATGCTACATCAAACGAGGCCAAGTTTTATCAGTATAGTCTAAATTGCACAATTTCAATAGTTACTTATCCATAACGTTTTTCGCCCTTCTAGTTAAATGAAATTGCCATGGATTTTTGGCCTGTAAGAATTGTGGAGTTTGTTCCAGTAGGATTAACAATAAAATTGGAGGAAATAATCATTAGTTACAAATTCGTGAGTTCAATGACTATATTGGAATGAAAAAAAATAGTTGAATAGTTTTGTGATTAAAAAAAAAAAGAATAGTTTAATGATCCGTAAGATTTTTTTCTTACCCAAAAATATACATGGTTTGTAATTGTAAATTGATCATATCTCATTCTCATCATAAGTTCCATGGCATAAAAGATATATGATTCATTTGCAATATTTACTTTTGTGTCTCTCAAAATATGTGTCTATCTCCATATTAATGTCACATAATGTAACATTTTCTTTTGCCTTTAATAATAACCATTTAAAAAGTATACTGAAAACAGAAAGGAAACGTATCTAACTATTTGCTTAACTCGAAATAGTGTATAGAACATTTCCTCATTCTCCATATCAGTTTGTTCACACAAAAAAATGAGAAACAGAATGAAAATAGTAAATTTTTTTATGCACTATTAATATATATAGGGATGACAATGGGAGCGGATGCTCGCGTGTGCACGTCTCATAGGGAGAGTAATGGGGCAAGGCGAGATCAGGGATGATAGCCCATCCCCTTCCTTTGCTTCAATTTATTAATATAAATAAATGTAATATATTAAATAATCTAATAATAATAAATTTAGAATATTTGACAAGTAAACATAATTTTTATCTCATTGCTATTCAAGTGTGAGTCCACTTGCTCTGTTCCAAAGCTCCAATACCAACACAAGTAGATAATATTATAGTCACCATTGCACGATTATCAAGTTTAACTATTGCTATCTGCATTTCATCAAAAAGCTCCAGAACTTCATTGTACCTAACAAAATTAGCCTATTTGGTGATCAATGCATTCCAAGAAAAACAACACACATCACTAACATTTTATCAAAAACCTTCCTTGCCTCGTTAACAAGTCTAGAATTGCCATACCCTAAAGGCATAAAATTCCTAGAGTTCAACTTCTTCGCTAGTCAAATTATGAAACAAAAGTGTTAGAACATTGATTTGGAAATACAAAATTCCTAGTTGATATTTGGCATAACCATGTTATGCGCTCTATGAGTATTCTCAAGTGTTATTTATATAATCTAATTGAGGTTCTTAATTTTTTTGATATTTTATTTCAACACTTTTCTTGTTTCATTTTTCCTTTCTCACTTTTTCCACTCCATATTTTATTTCATTCGTTGAATTTAGCTTTGATCTATTAAATGGAGGTTTCTTTTTAAAAAATCAAATTATCACTCGTGGCCGCCCCCGTGAAAAGGGCCAAAAGGGGCGGGAGTTTTTTAGCAATGGGACAAGGGACGGGGGAGGGATCCCCTGTTTCAAATCTGTCCCGTTGCCATTCCCCAAGTGTATACACGTGCAGATCTATAAACATGTTATATATGCAAAATTTGGTATTTAAATATAAATTGAAATGATATATTATGTATTGAAATCCTTCAGTGTATACACACACGTATATACTGACAACGTAGAGAAATTATCTAAAATTTAAAAGAAATATCAGAAGAAAAGGTATTTTATTATTATTATTATTATTATTTTTCCTTTTTCGGCCTTGAGGACGAAGCAATCTTTCCCTCGTCACCCGTGCAAGAGAAAGAATCTAATCCAGCACATCGCCACCACTTTGAACATTTGCTCAGCTGTAGAGATGGCAAAATGGGCGGCATGGGCGGGATTTGCTTGGGTTTAAGATGAAACCGAATCATATGGGTTTGGGCTCAACCTTACCCATATATGTTTTGGGACTAACTTGGGCGGGATCACTTTGGGATGGATTTAGATTGATCCCGCCCAATACCCAAATATATTTTCTACATATTTTTTTCTTTTAATTTATTTTTTTATTTTTGTATATAATTTTAATATTATTTATTTATTAAATTTCTTTTAGTTTTATTAAATAAACATGCAAGTGCTTTATACTCAGGATTATCACAAAAAATTGGATTAACAAATAAAGGAAAAAATAGATATACAATCATAACTATAAAAATTGTTAAAAATAATTTTTGAATCTAAGACTCCGTTTGGATTGGCTATTTTTTCAAAAAATAAGTTTTTCAAATACAATATTACAATAATATACAATAACTCAAAAAAAACAGCCCATCCATATTAGTATATCAAATATTTCAAAAAAATTTTATAGTAAAAATTTTTCATATACACTATACAATAAAATATTTCAAAAGCACCTCTTAAAAATAGTTAATCCAAACGGAGCCCTTGCTATTTGAGCCCCATGGGTACCCAAGTATTTTCCAAAATTTCCCATCAATTAATGGGTATAATTGGAATTTGTCCCATTGTAAATCCACTATCAAATTCCAATACCCATCCCGCCCAAATTCTCAATGGGCATGGATAACTCATTGGGACTTGGGATAAATTGCTACCTCTACTCAGCTGTCAGGACAAACCGTTTCATTTTTCATTTTTTATTTTTATTTTTTCACCCCCAAAACTCCACATCTTTCACTTACTCCCTACCTATGCTCCCTCCGGGCGTCTCCCCTTCATTGGGTCATTGGACTTCCCAATGTCACCGACACGTAAGATTATTAATTCCTCAGAGGACAACCCTCGTGATGGTGCCGCAGTTGCTCCCTAAAACTAAGAATCGTCACTACTTTCATTTTCTGCCACAAGTAAATAACACGCACAACACACACTGAGTTAGATAGCACTAGTAAAATATTCAACTAAATTAATACTATGTTGATGTTTGTTGGAAAAAAAACTAAATTAATACTACCATTAATCAACTAAATTTATTTTTGTTATTTTTTGGGAGAAAAAAATGTTTACAAAGTTGGAAAGTCACCTTGTTGGAATCATTTTTCAACAATTTTCTAACTTTCGAGGAGAGATTACTGACGATAAGATTCAAACCCTAATTTCTAAATTTAAAATCGAGCTTCTTATCAAGTACAATAAATCAAACCTAAACTTTTATTGAGAAAGATTATCGAAATTCAAATCCAAATTTTTACTCAAGAAAATTAGTGATCACGTCTCCAATTTGACCTTCTATTGAGGAAAGATTGCAAGCATGAGACTCAAAATCTGATCAATTATTAAGTAAATATGAATAAACTCGTACTTTACAAGTTGAGCCAATTTAAGTGTAGTTATAGTTATTTAATTTAATATTGAGTAAAATATTCCACTAATGTACCGAGGAAAAGATTCAAACTTGAGCTTCTAAATTCAAAAGAACTTGATTAAGAAAGATTATCAAAATCCAATCCTAAACTTCTACTAGAAAAATTAGTGATCATGACTCAAACCCGATCTTTTATGGAGGACACCGGACTTATACTTATACTT